TGGCCCACCTGATGATCACTTTAGATAAGCTATTATCAGCAGGACAGTGGGGTGGGAGGAGGTATTGTTTCATATTCTCTGTGTATATATAAAGTCTGCTGCAGTTTCCACGGTATGCATCTGATGAAGTGAGCTGTAGCTCACGAAAGCTCATGCTCAAATAAATTGGTTAGTCTCTAAGGTACCACAAGTACTCCTTTTCTTTTTGTCTGTATCCAGAATAGCATAGCTGTTTGTTGATGGGCATGTCTGTTCCATGCACATCTGCTCCCAATTTAGGTTAGTGCAGGAACTGGTCCTTTACATAATGAAAACATTTCAGTACCCAGTCCTGTAATTCTTACCTCAGGTCTCTCTCAGTGTATGCGCAGTGTGCCCAGCAATTTGATAGCATCAGCAGCAGCCAGGTGAAGAGCTGGTAGCCCACCACTGAAGTGAGTCAAAGGGCATTCATCAAGGATATGCGACATAGTCTGATGTTGACTGTATCTACATCATGGGTAGAGAAACCCCATTTGAAGAGACTGGCCACACGATTGCCCTGTCCTGTTTGAAACCGATTCAGAGATAACCACAGGTACCTTGGCAGGTCAAAACCTGGTGGGCAGACGGTTGGGTCAGTGACGAGAGAGTGATTAATGACTGTCGCTGTTGATCATTCACTACACCAAGCAGATTTCAACATCATGTCCTGTGGTGGCATAAGTAACTATAAAGGGTGTTTAGAAGACAGGAGAACTGATGGGTGGTTGAAGAGTTCTGAGTACAGAGGCAAGTGCTGTTCTCACGGATCTTAGTCAGAAGCATGATGGGAGGCCCCCTCATGGCAATTATGGGGAGGTGCTATGTTACTAAGTATTGGCAGCCATGGCAACAGAGTTGCATGTAAAGTCCCGGTAACAATGCACATAGTTTGTTAAGCTCTACATCAACCTCAGGTGAACTCCCATTGATCTAAATGTGAATGCAAAAATATTTCAACAGGAATTTTGCCTGCATGAGGACTGTAGGATTACATATACAATGTGTGACTATATCGAAGTGCTAGACTTGTTGCTTAGTTTTTAAAGATTAATTTCTCTCTTCACTCAAGTAAGTCAGCCAAAGGATATATTAGTTTCAGAGTAGCAGCCGTGTTAGTCTGTATTCGCAAAAAGAAAAAGACACATCCGATGAAGTGAGCTGTAGCTCACAAAAGCTTATGCTCAAATAAATTTGTTAGTCTCTAAGGTGCCACAAGTACTCCTTTTCTTTTTGCTCTATATTAGTGACTGACCATAATCTTGTGAACTCTATGAAAATTAACTGGAAGAAAGAGAGTCACTTGTGCTGAGAACATGAATGCCAAAGCTTTGCACAGAATCTATTTCTGAATTGCTGTAGTGTTTGAGGGAAAAAAAAGGACCAACTGCAAGCTCCTGAACTTACACTGTGTTACACTGTGTAGACAGATACCTGAAGTGAATAAGCCCATTTACATGCACACCAGGCTAGTGGGCTTTTAACTAGACATGTGCACTCTCAAAAGCACAGTTGGAGTGTGTACTCTGTGTTCTTACACACATAATTTAGGCATGCACAAATGTCTACCTATAAAATATTTGCTGATGAAAATCTGGCCCAGGATGTTTTAAATGGAAATATCAGAAATATAAACTAACCTTTTTGACAAAACAACACCAACAGCTGAAAACTCCAAAATGTCCAGTTATTTAAAATGTTGGGAAAGAAATCTTTCGTGGCCTAAGAAAATTCATTTCAAGTTTCAGTCTAAAGTAACATTCAGTTCTTGAACCCAGGTTATAAATCCCTGAAATACAGAATAAGGCACAGACAGACCCTTAACAGTGCCAACACTAGTGCCCTGCTATAATACTGAGCAATTATTTATTTACATTTTTAAAACACAGTAAATGTAATTAAATGTGTTGAAGAATTAATGTACCTAATTGTCTAATTATACAAAGTGAACTAAGCTACATAATTAAGTACTTAATTATGTAATTACATATAATATAACTGAAGCATGTTATATAATTAGGGAAAATGTAAACTTTTACCAGAGAATCCATCATAAGTTACATTGGATGGGAATAAGACAGGCACACTTCTGAGTAATGTCCACTCTCTATTACAAGAGCCACTGATTTATCTAATTAGGTGGTAGAGTGCCTGAACTTGTCTGTGGGACAAGCAAGGATTCTATTAACAGCAATGGGATCATTCAAATTTACAGCATATTCAACCTTTTTTATGCCACTTGGCATTTCTGGAAGTGGCAGTTATGTATTTAAAAAGATATCAAGTTGATTCTAAGCAATCTCTCTCAAAAGCTGCTACATCAGAGTATCCTATATCAAGTAATCAATTTTTATAACATAGTTAATAACATTGTGCCATTATTTTAAAAAAGTAGTAGATTCCCAAGGCAAACCGCAGGATTTTTTAGTTTTCCAAATTACTAAAATTGAGTGAAAGTTTCTTCAATCAAAATTTGTCCAGTTTCCGAAATGTTCTTGGAAGCAAAATAATTCTTCAAATTTTCAGTGAGATTTCACATTAGTGTCTTTTTGCTATTAGAGCAGGAGGAAATGCATTTCTGGAGCACCAAAACTATTTGTGAATTGTGTTGAATTCGGCAAATTGTTTGAGCAAAAGAAAAAAAGAAAGTCTGGAAATTTTGAACCATTTTGATTTGATGTGTGATTTTGAATCAACATTAGAAATATTTCATTCAATCCAAATGAATTTTTTTTGTTTCATCGAGAAAAATAAAATAAATCTGTATTGGTTAGAAACAAACCAAATTTGAGGCTATTTTTCAGTTTGGTCACCTTTTCCTTTCCTTTTCAAGATGGACTCAACTGTCAACTCAAAAGAATATTCACTCCAAGTGATGGCAGGTGGCATTTTGATTATAGTGGCCAGCTTTGGGTCACCCAAAGGGATTGTTGGTATCTTACACTGGCACAAGCTTTTTGCATCATGGAGCCTTGGGTGAAACAAGCCCCATATCTATATTCCTATATTCTTCAGAATTGGATTTGACTCTTCTATCATGATTAGCTGTTGAATTTTGTATATCTGTTATTTACATAGCCCCCAAAAACATGCTGGGCATTTTGCCAATAAATAAAAAGGCAGATCCCTGCCAGAAAGAGTTTGCAATATATACATTATAAACTGAAGCATAGGCCACTTCTAGAGGAAGAATACCAGATAAAGTGGATTATTAGTCCAATGTGATATGGTGAACTCCATATCTCTAAATTACCTGCTAATCATTGAGATTAAAGGGTAGTGTAAAGTGCCCTTTCAAGCGAGTGACAGTGCACAACTCTAAAATGCAACATCTATTTTGTTTAATGGGAGACCTGAATGTGCAATGATAGCAGGACTGGCCTCTTTATGAAATAACCATGTATTTTAGGACATGCATTGAAGTCAATCAGTTTACTGAAGCCCAAATGCTGCAAATGTTTATGCATGGGCAGGGCCGGATTAACTCTCCTATGGGCCTGGGGCTATTAGATTTTGGGGGACCCCTGTATACAAGTCTTTTTCCTAATTTAAAACAAAATGATCTCAATTATGGCATTGAAGCTATTAACGTTATACTAAACTTGCCTTTTAATTAACGTAAAGCCATCCTGTGGTTACATTTCAGTCTTAAAACATGTAGAATATAGTTAAGTTATTTCAAAATAGCCTACTCCTTACCTTAGAACAGCTGTTTTATTAGTTTCTTTCTGAGAGGGAGTTTGGGTCGGGTGGGGACTCCAGGGGGGCTGGGGCAGAGTGTTCGGATACAGGAGAGGTTGTGGGGTGCGGACTCTGGGAGGGAGTTTGGTGCAGGAGGGGATTCTGACCTGGGGCAGGGGGTTGGGGTGCAGGTGGGGGTGTGAGATGTAGGCTCTGGCTGGGAGGTGCTTACCACAGGCTGTTCCTGGCCAGCGGCACAGTAGGGCTCAGGCAGGCTGACTGCCTGCATGCCGTGGCCCCATGCCACTCCCGGAAGCAGCCAGCTGCTGGCACATCTCTGCATGCTCCTTGGGGTGGGGGACAGTGTGTCTCTGTGCGTTGTCTGCGCCCACAAGCGCCACCCTCACAGCTCCCACTGGCTGGTTCCTGGCCAATGGAAGCTGCGGGGACAGAGCTGGGGCGGGGGCAGCACGCAGAGCTGCCTCCCCTCCCCCACCCCAGGGGCCGCAGAGATGCAGAGACAGCAGCCGGCCACTTCTGGGAGCGGCATGGGGCCACGGCATACAGGCAGCCTGCGTGAGCCCTGCTGAGCCACTGGACTTTTAGCAACCCGGAGATTGCGATAGACTGTTAGAGGCTCCAGGATCAATCAGTCGATCGCAATCAACGGGTTGGTGATCACTGAATTGTATATAATTATGGATTTATTTTTGCGGGGCCCCCCTTATTCCAAGGCCCTGGGCTGCAGCCTCTAAAGCCCTTGCGTTAATCCGGCCCTGTGCATGGGCATAGCTTTCCACACAGGTACTCTCACTGGAAAGAATTACTCATTTGTATAAAGTTACATAGGTGTATATTTTCAGGATCTGGGCTTAAAACATTCTCAGGAAATCTTATCCCCTATTACCCAAGTTTTAATGTTGCTAGAGGAATACGCAATATTCCTCCTTTAAAAATAGAGGTCTAGATTTTGCCTTCATGTACACCCTGGTATACCCATTGAAATCAATGAGCATGTGTAATGCCAATAGATGCCAGTTGTCAGGATCAAACTGCGGAAGCTCAGTGCATGAGCCTCTACCGCATGAGCTAAAAGCCAACTGGCTGTTAGCTAAGGCTGTAGAGCAGACTCATTTTATCTCTCTCTTTAAGTGGGCTCGGTGCCACTACGTGGGACAGAACACCACACCCAGAGGGGTGTGTGGGTTACACACACACAGGTTTATATGAGAGTGGAACTGTGTCCAACACTTTGAAAAGAAATAGACAATGAAATGCACAGGAAAATAATCTCTCACCTTCCAAGTCTTCCTTTTCAAAATGCGTTTTGAGAATGGAACGAGTGCCACCTCTGTCCACGACAGCTTCTTCATCATTTCTCTGCAAAACAGAAATATATGTATGTAGGAGTCTTTTCTTTTTCTAACTTGGTGGCAAGATTGGAGTGTAAGTATAAATAATTTTAATTTTCACTTATATGATTTTTCCCTCAGACATAAGGTTTAAAGAATCTCTTTTCTCATATTAAAATCCATTCTTCATATGGCAGCTTTTATTCTGCAGTGTTTAAAACTGGCTTTGATGTGAAGAAATTAGATCTGTTGTGGCACCATGTGAGATGATGTGTAAACGCTGGTTTCTGGGAAGCAAGAAAATCATGAGCCAGTAAAATTATGCACATGATGAAGGAAGAGGTGACCAGTTGAGGCAGTTACACTATTGTACTTTTAGAGAAACAGCTGTATGCATGCATTTTTGGCTCTGGAAAAAGAACTTCTGTAAACTGGGTGACATTATGAACTATGCGCAAAACAGAAAAATCATAAACATTAGCAGTGTTGATACAATGGTTAAATTGGAGAACATTAATCTCAGTAAAAATGTTGATGTGAAAAAAATTCTAATCCCATGAAAGCAATTAGTCTCAATTATTAGATGAACAGTAATGCTTTCACTTGTCTAGTTTCAGCTTTACGAATGGTTTATAGTTACACTGTACACAGTGTACTCTAATTCTATATACTGCATGCAAACTCCCTTCCATTTTTTTTTTTTTTTTGGTATACTGAATGCTCTGATTTTATGTTGTATTTATATCATAAATTTTAATGATGTAAGCAGTCAACTCTACATTTTGACTATACTTATACTATGATAGTAAATGCTTTATGCTCTGATATTATACTGTAAGTGTATTGTATGCTGGAACGGACTACTTTGGTATTGTGTCCTTCTGTGAAAGCTAATGTTAAAGCTAAAAAGCATGACATGCTGCTAGTTTCAGTTATTTGGGATACAATCTGTAATTAATTAAATATACCCAGTATTCCCTAAAGATATTAGCCCTTTGGAAAGTCAGCCATGATGCACAGGTAGTAAACTGAATGCTGGTTTCCCAAGGAGCTGCATATTTGTGCTTACAAAAACAGTTCTCTTCATTTTACAAAGGAAGAGACTGATAGTAATTATCAGTGAATGGCTACTGGATGAGATGAAGAGAAAAAATTAAACAAACAAAAGCATTAATTAACATATAATGAATAAGTATTACATGACATCAGTAGCAAGTGGAAGAGGCTTAGAAAGTGATATTAGAATTTAGAACTTCCTGATTTTTATATTTGAAAAGCACGCCCTAGTAAAAGCCTGGTGAGACGAGTTGCTTAAAATACCAGTGTTTAAAGCTAAAAATGGAGAAAAGAGTAAAAGGAACATGAAGAGAAATTGCACCACATGGGCCCTTCTCCTTTAAGGAGAAACAGCAAGGGATGGATCTAGAGCTGAACATTATGCGTTTTGGGATCCAAGATTTTGCTTCAGGTTCATCTGGGGTTGCCAGCCCTCCAAGATTGTCCTCAGTCTCCAGGAATCATAAGATTATGTTAAGTAATGAAATCTCCAGGAATTCATCCAACCAAAGTTGGCAACTCTAGATTCATCTCTCCTTTACAAATGGCTGTTATTATGCTGTAGCTATTTTATATAAGAGAGTCTTGGAACTGCATCAGCACAAAGCTGTTAAAAAGAGAGGGTAACAGTGCCTTTATTAGATCCCTCTATCAGAAAAGGGTAGATAACAAAAATTTGACAAGGAGAGAGGAGCCTTCTACTGAAATCATTTTGCCTCCAAATAAATTAGAGTTAGTTAATAATCTATTGAATGCACTAGGACAATTGTTTTTTTTTACAAGTCATTCGATCATATTAACATTATAGATAAAATGAATCCATTATTGTGAGCAGTAAGATACATCAGGGTGTGTGTCACATTGAAATACTGTCATGCTCCGGGGTGAATTGTTAGGCATGAAGCCAAAAAGGCCAAGTCTTACAGCCATGTAAGAAGTAATGCTCTTCTTGTGCAAGTCATACCCAATAGCTTCTCACTGTGGTTAGGAAAAGACCCCATGGAAGCAGCATTATGGAAAAATCCTAATACATATTACATTGTTTTTATAATTAATTTATTTATAGACAAGTTAAAATAAAGTAAAAAGTAAAAAAATCATTAATTAATATTAATTAAAAATTATAAATTTATTATTTATAAACTTGTTGCAGATATTATTCTACCTTTGTCTTTTTTATTCCCACCTCCACCTCCTGCACATGTTTGCCTTTCATCTTCAGGTAATCTTTGTCCAACTTATCTCCTTCTCTTCTAAGAGGCCATCTTCCTTTAACATTAGATGGAAAAATAGCTAAATTGAGAGTTGTATGTTGCTCCTGTTTCAGTGGTCAAACCTGAGCAAGCCCAATTAAACAGGCATTGTGGCTTTTTGACTTCCCATGCAGCACCGTGTAGAAACGTTCTGTACTCAGTACCATGGTAATATCCACGGGTCCTGTATTCCCTCTCCTCCCAAGAGTCGGCTACTAAATCTGCACAATGGGGTCCTGATCGCTATTGGGATCCCTGGCACAACTACAGTGAATAATGATAATGGCAGAAATGCTGACCACACCCTCACCCTGCCATCGTGACTAAAGATTAGGAAATTAATTTCAATTTTTAATATCTTTATTAGTGTTTCAGAAAAACTGTATATAGTGTCATTATTTTTAAATATTCTCATAAATGAGAGGCTCGAAAAGGAAGTACAGGCCAAAACCACCATATGAAAGTCATGGAAGGTGGAATGCATATTTTAGATTACTTAGTGATATTTAATACATGCAAAATAATTTTATTTATTAAGCACCCCTCTCGCCCTCAGGTGAAGTATTCAAGGAGCGAGACAAACAATTAAAATACAGTAATAATTAAGAACCCAGCCATGACTCTATGGAAGTCAATAGAACTCTTTCCAATGACTTCAGTGGGAGCAGAACCAGGCTCTAAGGCTACTGATATATCAAAGCCTTGAGTTTTAGAACATATCATTGTAGCTTTTCTTACTTTTAGCCCGTTTTGAAGAGGCTGCACACTCAGCAATTTATATGACACAGAAATTTGCCAGGACTATGCTGCTCAAATTATCTTGTTATACTGGAGTAGTTTGCAAGTAAATTTATGGACACACTGACCATGTAAGAGTCCTTGGAATTGTCCATTATTGCATTGAGATGCTTGTTGACTTCAGTGAACAATGTGGTCTACTGCTTAAAGCCTGGGACTGGGCTCCAGAAAGTTCTGAGTTCTAATCCTGGCTCTGTCACTGCCTTGCTGTGTGGCTTTGGGAAAGTCACTTAGTCTCTGTGTCTCAGCTTCCCCATCTGCAAAATAGGGATAATAATACTTCCTCATAGTGGTATTCTGAGGCATAATTAATCAATACTTTTACAGCACTTTGAAGCTGGAGAATGCCTAGTATTTTAATTCTACAGTGTGCTCATTTTCCATGTGTAAAAATGTCTTGATAGATAGCAGTAGAACAATAAAACCGTAACATTAAGGGATATATAAAATGCATTCTCAAAAAAAGACAGATTCTCATATGCCCTGGAATGGATTGCTGCTGCACAACTACAGACAATATTTTTGTCAAGGTTTTACATTTGGGCCTGATTCTCATCTCATTTACATAGGTGAAAATTAGGAGTAATTCTATTGAAGTCAATGGAGTTACACTACTGTGAAACTGATATTAGACCAGAATCAGGCCTTTTTTGTATAAAAAAATTGCAATTATTTCTATCTTTTTTACCATTTATGCCCTTTATACAATGATCAGACTGTGATTTTTCCTTAAAAAAAATTATGACAAAATTATTTCCTTAGAAATCAAATAATTTAAACACACAGTACAATAATCAAACAAAACATCCAGGGTAAAACAATAAGAGCAGGATGAATCCTTTAGGGCTTTGGGTGAAAAACCTGAGCTACTTAGGGTGAAACCCTGATCCTTGACTCCACTGGGTACAGGATTTCACCCATTTACATCATCACAAATGAATAGCAGTAAGTCCTTTATTCCACACCACTTCACATTTTCTACATGCCAGATATTTTATCAAAAAGCTATTTTTATGTATCAGAGGTGTAGCCGCCTTAGTCTGTATCCACAAAAACAACGGGGAGTCTGGTGGCACCTTAAAGACTAACAGATTTATTTGGGTATAACCTTTCTTGGGTAAAAAACTCATTTCTTCAGATGCATGGAGTGAAAATTACAGATACAGGCATAAATATACATTGGCACATGAAGAGAAGGGAGTTACCTTACAAGTAGAGAACGAATGTTGAAGGCCAATTTAGTCAAGGCTAGTGGATGTGGTCCACTCCCAAAAATTGATGAGGAGGTATCAATACCAAGAGAGGGAAAATTGCTTTTGTAGTGAGCCAGACACTCCCAGTCCCTATTCAAGCCCAAATTGATGGTGTTAACTTTGCAAATGAATTGTAACTCTGCAGTTTCTCTTTGAAGTCTGTTTTTGAAGTATTTTTATTGAAGAATGGCTACTTTTAAATCTGTTATTGAGAGTCCAGGGAGATTGAAGTGTTCTCCTACTAGCTTTTGTATGTTTCCAGGTGCCACCAGATTCCTTGTTATTTTTAAATGTTTTTAAGTGTTTTAAAAATTGCATTGGTACCAATTTTTGTCTCCTGCTATCTGCAAGTACTCAATTGCATGATGATGAGCACAGTACAGGAACCTAAGTGTATGTCTACACTTCAAGCTGGAAGGGTAATTTCCAGCTCAATGAAACATACCCACACGAGATCTGATTGAACTAGGGTGCTGGAAGTATCTAACATGGCTCTTCCATACACAATTATGTCATAATTGTAAGGCCTAACATCCCAGGACATTCTAATGCTAGAACTCTGGAAAGCTGGGAATCAACCCTTTTCAATTGTGTAAAGCCCTAATTTCTAATCATATATATGTTGCAGAGATCAATATCCTTAAACCTGTCATTCTTTCAGAACAGAATATTGCCCATTCCACACTGCAGACATAATAAAACCACCTCAAGGAGTGGTGGTAGCTCTGTCAGCAACATAGCACTGAGCACACTACCTCTTATGACAGCAAAACTTATGTCTGTCGGGGACTTTTTTTCATACCCCGGAGCAACTTAAGTTTTTCCAACATAAGCGGTAGCGTACACTCTGACAAAGGTTTGTGTTTTAATAATAGCTGTTGTAATCTGCTCAGAAGTTTGCAATCTTAGTAGTAGTCCCAGTTAAAGATGGACTAGCAGGCAGAGTCCAGATGAGATGTTCAAAGTTGCATAATGAATGCAACTTATCACATTGCTTCCACCAAAGTATCATATGCACGCATGCGCACACACACTCTCTTCAGATTTTTTCTGGGTGATGGAACTGTAGATGTATATATATATATATATATATATCATCATCTTCACAACAGACTAATGACAACATTTCAGAATTTAAAACCTATGTGATAAATATGTATGTTATTTATAAATTCACAAAAAGCAAAATAAAGACATGATTTTTTTAAAAATAAATGTATAAACATATGTCAGAAAAACTACCTAAATACTGCATTCAAGTGCCCAGACTTACTCAGATTGCTGCAGTATACAAAACATAGAATCATAGAAATATAGGGCTAAACAGGACCTCAAGACTCATCCTGCGTTGAGGCAGTACCAAGTAAACCTAGATCATCCCTGACAGGTGCTTGTCCAATGTGTTCGTAAAAACTTCCAATATTGGGGATTCCACACCTTCCCTTGGAAGACTATTCCAGTGCTAACTACCCTTACACAGGGTAAAGTTTTTCCTAATATCTACCTTAAATCTCCCTTGCTGCCAATTAAGCTGATTACTTCTTGCCCTACCTTCATTGGTCATGGAGAACAATCAATCACTACCCTCTTTATTACAGCCTTAACATATTCGAAGACTTATTGGTTACCCCTTCAGTCTTCTTTTCTCAAGACTAAACAGGACAAGTTTCTTGAATCTTTCCTCATAGGTCAGGTTTGCTAAACCTTTTATAATTTTTGCTGCTCTCCTCTGGACTCTCTCCAATTTGTCCTTATCTTTCTGAAAGTGTGGCACCCAGAACTGGACACAGTACTCCAGCTGAGGCCTCACCAGTGCTGAGTACAGGGGGACAATTACCTCCCATGTCTCACATATTACACTCTGGTTAATACACCCTGAAATGGTATTTCACAACTGCGTCACATTGTTGACTCATGTTCAATTTGTGATCCACTGTAACACCCAGATCCTGTCTAGGAATACCACCAACCCGCCAGTTATTCCCCTTTTGTACTGTGCATTCAATTTTTTCATTCTAAGTGTAGTACTGCACACTTGTCCATACTAAAGGGCATACTGAATTTCATTTTGTTGATTTCAGATCAATTATCCACTTTGTCAAGGCCATTTTGAATTCTAATCCTGTCTTCCAAAGTGCTTGCATCCTGTCCCCAGCACGATATCATCTGCAAATTTTATAAACATGCTCTCCTCTTCATTATCCAAGTCATTAACGAAAATATTGACTAGTACCAGAATCAGGACAGACCTCTACAGGACCCCACTTGATACACCATCTTACTTTGAGTGAGAACTGTTGATAAGTACTCTTTGAGTAGAGGCTTTCAACCAATTGTGCACCCACCTTATAGTATTTTCATCTAGATCTCATTTCCCCAGTTTGCTTATGAGAATGTCAGATAATGCTAAGTCAAAAGCCTTCTTAAAAATCAAGATCTATCATGTCTACAGCTGCCCTCCTATGCACTAGGCCAGTAACCCTGTCAAAGAAGGAAACCATGTTTTAACAATTGGTATAAATACACAATATTTGTAAGAAGGTTTAAAGGTTGCATTGAAAGGCATTTTCCACTCCATTGAAAGGTTCAGTTACACTGGTACATTGTATTTTGGTGTGAATATTTTATGAACAAAAATAAAATATAAACTGAATACACAGCTAAAATATGCATTTTATTTGAGAAACTGGAAATGATCCCTTTTCCCTGCACTACCTCTACCTCTTACCCACCCAATTTTAGCCTGTGTATGTATTCCTGTTAATTACACCCTTACACATTCTGGATACAGACCATGTTAAGGTTAAAAATGTACTATTTCAACATCCTTTCTTAATGTAAAATATATTTTAATGCAGAAACCTTCATTCCCTTAAACCTGGTTCTCGTCTGTATAGAATTTCATTAGAAATTATGCACACAACACAACTGCTGACACAAAACTAAAATAATTACGGAATTAATAAGACTTCACTGAATAAGCCATTTATTGATTATTAGATGTCCTACTTAAGTCGTAAATGCCATCTGGCGCTCAGGAAAACCTGTCATTGCAGAACATTAAATGCTGTTTTTCTACAAAACACAACCATAGAAATGGTAAGATTAAATCTTTTTAGGTACTAAATATCTGTATGATTATAAGTACTTAACATATGTCTGTGAATAACGACACATTTTAGTGTATATGTTATTTCATGAAACCATGAAATTAGATACATAGACCATAAATCCTATGCTGTACCTTCTCATATTTTTATAAGATTCTAAACTTTGTATCCAAAAAGCCATGCTTAAAATGATCATATTAATTGTTTACCCTAAACTTGACTGCTTTCACAGTTTGAAGGTATCCTACTATTATATTATCTAGATATGCTCTGGTTGTGTGGTATTTATCTGGCTGTATTTGGTTTCATGGCATTTCTGTTTCAAAATCACTTCTGTTAACTTCAGCTTGACATTTACAAAAAGGAGCACAATTAAAGAAACAGAAAAGTGTGCTATTTGAACTCAAGATCTGCTAAGAGCATATGTGAAACATATCCTTTACAAAATTGTATTAAGTAGCTAAAAAAAAAGTTCATTGTAGCTGCACGTTACAGTGTTGCGGTAAAGAAATCACTGGTGGCTGCCATGCTCAGCTCTGTCCTTTGAAGTGTCCTTGAGCTGACACAGTCACACCAAATTAATTTGATGCACCCAGTCTGTGTCTACACTTTAGATGCTACAATTCTTTTCTCTTTCCTGAGACAAGAAAAGAACGTAATTCTGTGTATTATCATTGTTTTGACTTGCTTATAGTATATATCATTATAGATCTGCAGCTGTGGAAAGTGCTGTAAATTTTATCTTTCAGATGCAAAAGAACTGCTTTTCCATTCCATTAGCTGCATCAAATATTCTATATTCTTTTCTTATTCACCTATCAACAAAGAGCAATCAAAACACATTTAAAATACAATTAAATCCATATTTCTCCAAAGTATTATTTTAACCATCCT